GCCACCTAATTTAATATTTATATATATACTTCTCTTATATATATTAGCTGTGTAATTACAATAATATCAATAGCAATAATATTTCGCAATCCTCAACGTTTTCAAAGAGACAATTATGATAATAATAATAATAATAATTTCAATAATTCCTTCATTAAATTCTCATATTTATTCTTCATCATACTATATAACAACTAAAACACGAGGGATCGCTGATTATTAGACATTATATCTTAAGATCTAACAATAAAAAAGAAACAATTTCGACAAGCACTTTTCTCGATACGTAAATAACACTCCGTTTCTTTTCCTTCTCATTTTTAAAATATTCATTAACGGGACCCCTTTTATGTTCCCTTCTTTTTGTCTCGACTTTCAATACAACACCGTATGCAATAAACATTTTCACATTGATAGCCTTTTTCCGTGCATATAGTCTAATTAATTGATTAATGATTACCTCAACAACATTTTCTACAGTTAAAAAAGGATAGACTCTTCTTTATGATGAGTGATTCAAGTAGCAAACGAGATGATGCGAGAGAATGCTGGTGAACGGTGTAATGCGATTAATGGATTATATGCTCCCCATTGTTTTTTAAGTATGTAAGATACTAGATTATTAATTTTTTTTTCATTTACTTCATCATAATACACTTACTGTATATTTTTTATTTCATTGATTTGGTTTTTTCCTCTTTTTTTCTTAAAAAAAAAAAAAGAAAAACGAACGTGACTGCACATATGTATTACGAAAGGGAATTGGATGGGATGGGAAGATGCACGCTCTACGAGTACGTGCAGTTATTGGGAGGGAAACACCCAAAGTGCGTAAGATCTTGGTCATGACAATCATACATTTATAATTGTCCAATATAGAACGATAGGTTATTTCGTTACTTTTATTATCATTTAATGAAATCTTGGTTTGTTTTTTACTCGCTGTTTATTAGTTCATTTACTCCGTAGACGTCGTTCTGTCGCACTTTCTTCTGTAGCTCGCTATATAAATTCGTCACCATCGCATCACAATAACGAACAATTAATCCCTAAATGTTACTTGAGTTATTCTTTTTTTGTAAATTTTTTTTTTTTTTTTTTTTTTTCATTCTATTTTAGGGATATCTTTATTTTTTTCATTTATATCAAAGGATGCGCGTGTTTCGCGATTGTTCGACCTCGTAAAGCTGTATGTTATTTAATTTCGACCCTAGATCGAACTTTCGGTATTATTAATTATTCATTTATTTTGATCCAGTGTTCGCGTAAACCTCTCTTACGATACATCATTGTTATTTTGACACACAACAAACAATTAAAATTGTATCACCTAGTTTATTCTGTGTCAACAACAACCATTTTGATATATGTATTATATCCAACATTGATTTGAAGTAAAACAATGATCCGTTATTTACAATCTGTCTATTTATTCATCTCTTTTTTTTCTCACACTCTAATTAAAATTTTTATTTTATTTCTCATATTATACTCGCAACAAGTCAGTTCATTTTTATAAAATCGGCGATTCTACGATGATTGTGATGATAAGTGAGTGTGTCTGTGTTTCCTCTCTTTCCTGGGGCGTTACGCGACACCCGACATCCTTTTTTTTTGTTTTGTTTCGTTTCCCAGCCGTCTTTCACTCCGTCTCTAAGATACTTCGCTCATCCTTACTTTCGCGTGGCTCTGCAACGATTTTAACGCTCGTCCTGGCGTTTATTTACTCTTCTTTTGATGGCTCAGCCTTTTTGCCTCCAATGGGCAGCGCAGCCTTTACCCTATAAACAAAACAAACAAACCTCAGTTAGTTGGACAGCTTTTGTACAAAAATACGGGAGTAAACAATAAAACAAGTATGAAGTTTAACGCACTTGGCTGTGATATCGTTGATTTTGTCTTGAAGCAGAGCTAGATTCGCATCGATCTGTGTTTTGTTCGTTTCGTAAACCTTGGGCAACGTGAACAGAGCAACGACTCCTGCAACACAACAATTTTCACACTTGAGTTTCGTGATAACAATTTTTAAATCCAAAAGGTAACTTTGGAGGATACTAACCAAGGATGATGAGCGTCATGCCATTGAACCAAGAGCCAAGGTACGTGAGCGACCAGAGCAAGACGCCGAACTTGAGAGAATCGACAAAGTCATCGACCAAGAAGAGCCTGCGCAACTCCTTGAGAGCCCCATTGACGCTGGCCACGACGATGTCGGCCACCTCGTGCACCTTCTCGGTGGGTAGTGTGAGTTCAAGCTCGAGAAGATCTCTGTAAGGACACAAGGATCATTGTAGCAATTTACGCAGCTTTCAAATTTCTCTACACACGCACAAAGCAGAGGATTTTTTTTTTTTTCTTTATCAGAATATCTCGGTTAATTCTACTAATACAATGGACATATTTTGTTTCTGATTTNAATTACGTTTTGTCGTCTTTGAAAACTCTTGAAAAAGTTTGATGATAAAATATTTGATATAATTATACACAAGTGCATTTGTACAGTAAACGATTGGCCATTAGTCTACTGGTCATCGAGTGAAAATTGCTTTAAATTATAACGTATTATCATCACGGACCAGCAGTTTAAAGATAATGTATTTTAATTGCATGAGCGAATTAACAATTCCTCGCGGCTTTTAACTATTTCAGCAAAGTTTTGTTAGAGCTGGGAGAAAGAAAAAAGGAAGGTATGGACTTACTTGAACGGGTGTCCATCTGACGTCTTCTGAATGGCCTGCTGGACAGTTTTGTAGATGCGGAAAGCTACGGTGAAGGTGAGAGTGAGTAGGGATATGTAAGCCACCACGCTGATCAGGCTAAAGTAGGCCAGCGACAAGAGCACAATGAGACTTGCACCGAAGACGATTCCCGACTTTTTGGGATCGCGCCAGTAGATCAACGCTGCCACTGAAAAATCAAAACAATTTTCGTTTTTACTTACGCCTGCGTCAACAACGCATCGGAAAATTCGCTTTTTATCGTATAGCTAAAAACTTATTATATACGTCGTTAAATTTACACTGGTGCATATACGCGTAATTGGACAGAGAAGACGTAATTCTGGCTAACGCTTAAAATTATTCGTTGGAAGGCAAGAGTTCACTTTGTACACGTTTGATAAAATAGAACTAAAAAAAAAATAGAGAGAGATAACTTCGTGTATATACTTTTCAAAGAAAACTGGAAATCCCAAATCTAGCGAGGATACAAGCACCAAGCACCGGCTAAACTACACCTGTAACCACGAACTTTTTACTTGTGAAAAAAAAAGAGTCACAATGAGCGACACTTTGAACTTGTAACCAGCTCAAAAAAAAAAAAAAAAAAGAATAACAACAAAGACTCAAAGGAAGCGTAGTAAACGTCGTCTCGGTTCGTCGGCTGGCGAGCGAATAAACCGGCGGCCGGGTCGGCTTGCGCGCGTCGAGGCGAAAAATCAATTAGTATGAAACACGTAATCCGTACACGTATACGGTAAAACACTGACATCACCCGGCTGCCGGTGCACTACGTGTAGGGGTATTTTTTTTTTTTACACGTACGCGATACGCATATTTGGCAATAAAAAAAAAAATAAAAAAATAAAAAAGTCAAAGATAAAGAGCAGCCGCACGCGTTTCCGGCTGATTTTTCGAGTGCGTGGCGTTAATTTTTAATCATCGACACGTACATAATTATATACAATAAGAGTGTTTCTACTGTCGGTCGGCACCTTTACTCATTTTCTTTTGGTTTTCTAGTGTCGTTGACTTTTTGCGCATTCAGAAAATGGTGTTTTCGGAAAAAAAATTCATCAAAATTGATTCGAGGCCCCGGAGGAGTATGATGTGATGAAAAAACTATTAGACCGGGAATTTGGCCAATGATCGTTTAACAATAATGAACACAATGACGGTACTTACACACACACACGCGAAAATATGAAAACGCCGGCGACGGTGGTGACGGCGCGTGTGTGCTTATTTTAGCGTTTTGGACTCTCGGGCGTCCCAAATAGCGGCTCGGTCGAGTATCCACGCGAGATCGAATCCGGCTGCTAATAATAGCCACGCGGACTCTCGCGCGAAGACGAGTCGCGGGGAATACAAAAATCACGGAGATCCTACGTACGCGCTGTTTTCTTTCTCTTTTTTTTTTTTTTTTTGTTTTTTGTTTTTCGTTTTTCGTGAGCGCGTTTTGTCGGGAAAAATATTATTATTTTCTTTTTTTTTTTTTTTTTTAACTACATCGTAACATTGGTTGGTGGTATTTTTTCGGGAGGTCTTTACGCCGAAAGTACCAAGGGTGAAAGGTGAGACGGCATTTCAGTAATACGGTGAAACACAATATTATACAGATGATTAGCCATAAGTATAACGTATCAAATGTATAGGCTTGATAAGAGCGAACGCAGTTATTAATCGATCGATGATTCACCGCCTTTTCCCAAATCGTTGAGACAAAGGGTATGGGGGACAAGACGCGGGGCAGTGGCGGCGCCCCTCGTCGTCAAGAGATGAAGCACTTGCGGAGCGAAGCATTACATTATTTATATATATACCCGACACTCGTGTGTGGGCGTCGGCGACGTAGTCGTGGCAGATACACACAATCAAATAACAGACAACACCGAGACTCACAAACACAAACGGTGTGTATAATGTAAGGCGAGGGGGCGACCTTGGCTTACGAATTTTTTGACGATACGGTGCGATCGGGCGTGTTCGTTTATTCGTGAATAAAAATGCGCACCAACACTATGCGATGCGACTTACTGCGTGGGTGTATAAGTGACACCACTTGAAAAAAAAAAAAAAAATCCAGACATAGCGTGCAAAGTGCGAGAAGAAAAAAATTAGCCTTACACTTCGAGTCTGTGGCAAACGCGTGAAAATTGATTCACGGGATATATGCTTGTCTGTCGACTTTTATCGGGTTTTTTTTTTTTTTTTTTTTTTTTCTCTTGTCGCATTCTAAACGTAACGTCGCGCATCAGCGATTACCAACGACGAATCTCTCTTTCGTTCACGTGGCAGGTTTTTTTTCTTCCTCTTTTCGACTGCACACTGAATTATCGTTATGTCGCAAATCCATAGCTGGGTATCCAAAGACTGGCTTTCTCTCAATTTTTCTATGATAAAGTGGGTTACGATACGCAAAGCTGACAGATAGGACGGATCGCTTATCAGAAAGAAGTGTTGTCTTCGACGAGATTTCTCTCCCAAAACGTTCGCTCTTGGCCAGCTACACAACGATACCAGAAAGGATTTTTTTTTAAAAGACCGATCCAAATGCAGGGCGCAATGTTACCTTACTCCTTTTGGGAACAAAGGAAGGGAAAGTCCCTATAGATACATAGTTACAGCTGTGCGCTGCAGAGAAAGAAAGAAAGGGGAAAAGGAAAAAAAGAGCTAAGGAGAGCTGCGGTGTCTGGTTGCCCCCCTGTACACATACATACATACCACTCGGAGCCTTTTATCCAATATTAAAGTCCGCGCTCCGAAAAACCGGTATCCATTCCTACAGGTATCTGAGCTGTGCGTATACGTGGTATACCCTCACACATTAAATGCATAGGCGGATCAACAGTATGGACGCATTTTTACACGAAAACACACGAAACTGCTGTTGCACGTTTAATATGTCAATAAGCGCGGTACTTATTTAATATCATCTCGATTTTTCTTTTCAACTCTCGATACACATGGAGGTGGGAGAACTGATTCGTGGCATATCGATGTAGAATGCTTAGGTATCTTACTCCTATACATTGATTAATTTTCCAGAGACGGTACTTTTACCTTTACATCACCGACGAGAGCCTATACATTAATAAGCGGATTATTTGCTGTTATAGACAAATACGAGGAGCAAACGGCTGCAATAGACAAGCTATATATAGCTGAACGGAAGCTTGACGGGTCTTTTTCTTCCGACGAAACATGTCGATTATCTCGATTACATTGTCACAATATATTACGTATACAGTACAAAAGCGCACGCGACGAACGGAGCGTCATTTATTTATCTATAGAAAAGTATGGATCACCGCGTCCATACATACTCAAACAAATACAATTTAATCGACCATCGGGTGAAAATAAAAGTAACGGTAAAGAAAAAACACATCCGGTACATTGCACCTCGTATAATATTATTTTACACACGCACCACAGAGCACCTTCGCTCGATCAACCATAGTTATATATACTATATTATTATGTATATAGAAAAATAGTAATTCACGGGAGCGGTACATGTGTACCTGTATACGCCGATGACGGGGCAGGGGAGTCCCTTTAAACTTTAAAGGGCTCGCGAATCGGCTCAATTGTTGGTATATACATTTTGGCCACGATAAAAAATCGGCGAAACTCTAATATAGGTAATACCTAATGTTACTCCTCATCCCCATCATCATATGTATTACCAATAATAGTAACGCACGCGTGCACGTGTACCACACACACACACACATAGCCGTGTACGTGCGTGCGTCATCAACCATATGTTCCCGACCCCGCGCGCGCAATAACTTATGCAAACTTATAAGTACTTTTGTACTCTCTCCCTCGATGCGATTTACCCTGTAACACGTTCGTTCGTTCCCCTCACAGATAAGTACGCGTACCTATGTATAAAACAAGCTGCACGCTACCTTCACGATCGATCATCAACAGTATTAAACATACACGAGCACGCCCTGTATCTACACTGTGCCCAACAATTGTGGGTATATACAGTATGCGGAGAATATAATATACCCCAGGAAAACTCACCGGGTCCTTTTGCAGGCAGCTCCCGGACGGAGGCTTGCCTCCCACCGCGTCTTTGCACCATATCGGTCTACACGTATAAAGTGTACGCGCACCACGTCTCAAGTATATGTATATATTATGTATATGTATATAAAACAACGAAAGAGGAAGTGCGTGGTCGTCTGCAGGCAGGAGCAGTCAGTGGTTGTTCTTCTGCTGAGCTCTCGGAGCAACACACTATATAACAACACGGCGCGACAGTCACGAGTCAAGTGCGCCGGCGACAAGACTAAGGTAACCTGTGAGCTGTAAAAATATAGTATACGCTTCTTGTGTTTAACGTAAGAAGAAAAAAAAAACCCTGATGGCGAGGAGCGACTGTATGACCGACCGACCTGGTGGTGAGTATATACGCGACTCATACGCCTCTGGGTGTATGAGTCGCGACCGCGAGTGTAGCGCTTATGCGGATGAGACAAGTAAGTGTATATACCTATATACAGAGGGAAAAAAAGAAGAGAAAGCACCGAGGAGTGTGTTAGTGTGTGTAGAGCCCGCGCGAGTTGGAGGAACTTGGAGGGGCAGGCAAACTATACATGTATACGTGTTTGCTGTATATATAGGTACGCTTATCTTATGTGAAGGATGGCTTTTACGGGACGTAGATGGTATACGAGTTGTACTCACGAATCGAAAGTAAACAAATGTAAACAACAGTAGATTTTAATGCTATAATATATAATTGTACTCAAGTATACGACGGGGAAAGGCGAGGAAGAGATGAAGATTGGCCTGCATCTGCTGCAGAAGACGAGATGCGCCGGGGCACAAAGAAAATGGTCACTGGCACCCCAATATATAATTATTACGTATATAATATGATGCTCTGATGCGTGCACACGCGGGGAAGTTTTGAAGATGTGTAGGTTTCTAGGTATTTACGTGTAGTTACGGAGAAAAAGATATACATATTATACGTAATACATAACGAAGTAGGGCAACCGTAATACCGTCGAGCATCACGTTATATGTACCACCAACGGTGTTGCGAGAAACAAGTATATTTTGGAGCGGAATAAATTAAAAGAGCTGTGCTTGTATTTTCGTTGTATAATTGCTACAGTATTTATAAGTATATCTATAAAAAAATTTACATCTTTTTGCTTGTAT